TCAGCACCTTCCTCCGGGGTCACAGGGTCCCTGTGTCCTGGGCCGATTGCCAAGGGCCTTTAGACCTCTGCATCCTCTGAGCTGTGTGCTGGTGGCCTTGCACGTTGTGGGGCGCCAGAATAGAGGCTTTGGAATTAGGTCTCACCAGCCTCAGCCTCCCCATCTGGGAAGCGGGGATGCAACAGGGCCCTCCCTGGGCAGTTGGGTAACACGGGTAGGATAGTGCCAGGCACGCTGGAGGCCGGTCAGCGGTCATCTGCCTCTTTGGGCTTGAGGGGAGGTGTTCACTGGTCAGGGCTGTGACCACCCTCCCAGGCCAGGCCACTGTGCCCTGTCCTCCACCGCAGCATCCTGTGCTGGCTCCATTTCACACATTTTTATCACCTGCACCTGCTTGCTCCCTCCCTGCCCCAACTTTCCCCCTCTGGAGCTGAGATACACATGTAGGTGTTGCTGAGCGCACAAGACCTGTACTGAGAGCCTACTGGGTACCGGTACAGTGCTGGGGTGGTACCACATCCAGCTGCTGTCCCCATGGGACTCACAGCAGAGGGGACAGTGGGCAGTGCCCTCCTGGGTGTCATCCTTCGGGTCCAGTGTCTTCTGGGTCCTGCCTTGGGTGGCTTTTCACTCTCAGTGCAGGCTGAGGTGGCACCTCTGTCCCCTCTCCCGCCCCACCCAAACGCAGGTCCATCCCATCCCTGAAGAGCCTGGTGACCTGGGGAAGAGCACAGTGCTCTGAGCTGGAGCTTGGGAGCTGGGGAACAGTATGAGCGGATTGTATTCCCGGGCATCTCCTGCCTTAAAGGGGGCTGGGCACGGGGGCTTCAGCAGCTCGCCAGGCAGGCACAGCTCAGTCACAAGAAGCCCAAGGCCTCATGGACCCCCTTTATTCCTTGAGCTCAACCCCCCTGCCCCCCTTAGGCTAACATCATTCTCTCTGCCCGTCTGCTGCTCCCATGTCAACCCGGGCCTCCCCTCTGCTAGGACCCCAAGTCCTCAGTGCACTCTTCACGCAGGGGCTGTTTCACCTCCCTGGAATGCGGGCCGGGACGTGGCTGTGCATCCTTGCTACTCATCTCCTTTGAGAACTTTCCCTCTTCCTCAACCCTACCTTGGAATCTCTTCTTGGTCAGACCACTACCCCCTCTACCCCTTTCTTGCATTTTAGTCCCAGGCCAACTCTCCTCTGCAGTCTAACCCCCTGCCAGTTTCAGCACCCTCATGGAACATGCTTCTTGGTTCCTTGACCCCTCGCTTCTCCCTTCACCTTGACCTGTGCCCTACATCAGCCTTATACTTGTAAGGTTACCCCAAGATCTTGATGTCACTGAAAACTATGTCCCCTCCACAATCTCACTCCTAGTACCCCTCTTCTCAGCTCTCACCCACCAACATTTCAGTTTCCCCCAATGCCTGGCCCTGATGACCATGGCCTTCACAGGACCATTGGCCATTGCTCCCTCCCACTTCACTGCCTCTCCCCCCAGCCTCCTCCCTCATTTTCTTTTTTCTTTTTAAATGTTTTATTTATTTCTAGGAGAGAGAGAGAGAGGCCGCGTGAGCAGGGGAGGGTCAGAGAGAGAGGGAGTCACAGACTGAAACAGGCTCCAGGGTCTGAGCTGGCAGTCAGCACAGAGCCCGACGCGGGGCTCGAACCCACGAACCGCAAGATCATGACCTAAGCGAAAGTCGGACGCTTAACCGACTAAGCCACCCAGGCGCCCCTCCTCCTTCATTTTGTCACTGACTACTCCTTTGTCTCCTTTCAAAATCCTCCTCACGGCCCCCCTTCACCTCACCCTCCTTGCTCCAGTGGGGCACAGTAGGCCCTCGAGTGTGGTTGAATGAATGAGCAAGCTCCCGTGATTGTACCAGAGTGAGCACATGCACTGTGGGGAGAGGGGGAGTGGAGACAGGATTACAAAGTAAAAAACCATGTGGTAATTAGCTCGGGACAGGAACCACAGTAAGACCTAATGGGAAAGAAGGAACGAGTGACCCTTCAGCTTAGGAAGGCATCAGGTGGGAGGGGAGTGGAGAGGGCAGGGGAAGGTGGGGGGGGAGTGCCCTGGCTAGCTTCCAGAGAGCCCGCTGGGGTTACTTCTGTGAGCCCCTCCCCTTGCCTCTCACTGGGCATTTTCCCTGCCCTGGTCTCGCGGAGCCTTTCGCGCGGTGGGGACAGGGGACAGCCGCATCAGCCACACTAGGAACTGCACCCCAGCAAGGCGCTGGAAGGAGAGGCCAGGACGGGGACAGGGAAGGTCCCGAGAACGCGGAGCCAGCGTTTGTGTGCAGTCCTGAGGGGCGGGAGGCAGGGCTCCTTTCCTGGGGCCACTGACAGAGTAGCTCCAAGTGGGCGGCTTAAAAAAAAGTGGAAACCCACGGTTTTGTCGTTCAGGAGGCCGAACGGAAGTCCAAACACAAGGCTGGCAGGGCTGGTTCCTTCTCAGGAGCTTAGAGCGAGAAGCTCGCGCCATGCCTTTCCCCAGCTCTGGGGCTTGCCCGCCATCCTGTGGCTGAAGGTCTCTTCTCTGCCTTTGTCATCACCCGGTCTGCTCCTCTTGGCCTCTTCTCCTCTAAGGGCATAACTCATACTGGATCAGGACCTACCACCACGAGGCCTGTCTTAACGTGGTCACATTCGCAGGCAGAGGGTAGGCAGGACTTCACGTTTCAGAGGAACAGAAGTCAATCTAACACAGTCTTGAAGAAAGGGATTCCAGAAGGAACAGAAGTCAGATAATAGCCTCAGAAGCCATGGTGGATGATGGCCTGTATTCCAGAGCAATGGGGAGACATAGGGTTTTAAATAGGCAACTCTGCCAAACTTCTCTAGATCTGCTGCGTGGAAGCAAGTGGATTCGAACACCAGGGTGGGCCTGTTAACATAGTTCTCTAGGGGAGCAAGGGTGGTAGCTTGGTGGATGGTAGCTGTGAAAATAGGAATATCAAGTTTATTGAGCACCTACTAAGTGCCCTGTGGTCTAGGTGCTGGAAGATAGAACAGAAAAGCCAACCAAGTCCCAGAACCAGCTTGAAATGAGCAGAGACTGGAACAGAACCGTGAAGGGGAGGGAGGGAGCCACGTGGCTATTGGCAAGAACCTCAGGGGCCAAGGGTACATTCAGGACCCAGTCATGAGGCTTGTTGAGGGGAGAACAAACCAGTCTGGGCTGAGGGGCTTGACTTCTCGGATGACGGGCTCCCTCCTCCCCCAGGGGTCTGCGAGGTGGACCGCCAGAATCGGGCGGGCTATTCGGCCCTCATGCTGGCTGCACTCACCTCCGTGGGGCGAGAAGAGGACATGGCTGTGGTTCAGAGGCTCTTTCACATGGGCAACGTTAACACCAAGGCCAGCCAGGTGCGTGAACGCTTCTTCCCTGGCTCCTGGTCTGGGGGTCACTTCCACCTGGGGTCGGTCTGACCTCCTTTTCCCCAGAACCCTCCCCAGCCCTGTCCCCTTGTTCCCCACTCCCCAGACAGGACAGACGGCCCTCATGCTGGCCATCAGCCACGGCCGGCAGGACATGGTGGCGGCCCTGCTGGCGTGCGGGGCAGATGTGAACGCACAGGATGCGGATGGGGCCACGGCACTCATGTGTGCCAGTGAGTACGGGCGCCTGGACACCGTCCGGCTGCTGCTGGCCCAGCCGGGCTGCGACCCGGCCCTCCTGGACAACGTGAGCCGCCGCGGGGCTGGCGGGGGGCTGGCAGGGTACCCATGCTTTGGTGCAGGGACCTGACCTCCAGGCTGTTCCTCAGGAGGGCACCAGCGCCCTGGCCATGGCCTTGGAGGCCGAGCAGGAGGAGGTGGTTGCCCTGCTGCAAGCGCACCTGAGCTCCGGCGAGCCAGGCCCTGGGGTGAGTGCAGCCCCAAGACGGTACTGTGTGCCGCAGAAAGGGGGCCTCCCTTCCTGCTCCCCTGGGGAAATAGCCAGGACCCGGGAACCTGGGTTTGGATTCATGCACGTGGCTGCGATTTGACGTTCAACCTGCCCAATACCAGAGCCACAGGTCCACTTGACAGCTCGTGAGCCTGAGGCCTCCAGAGAAGTGACCAGGCTAGAGCTGGGAGACCTAGCTCAGACCTTCCTTTGTCAGCAGACTCCTGCCGCTGCCCCCAGCAAGAAGGGACCCTTCAGAGTTAGGCAGGGAGGGGCAGAGGGGTGCGGGCTCCCCGCAAGCCAGTTTCAGGACTTGAGAAGGGCCAGTTTGCCAGCAGCCCAGCGGCAGGGAGGGAGGGCCAAGCTGGAGAACAGTTTGCTTCCTATGGGGGAAAGGCTTACTCTTTCAAAGGCAAGGGGCAAGCTCTCCTCAGCACTTAAACTCATCCAATCAGCCTGCTCCCCACCCCCTCCCCCCAAGAAGTATGGGGAAGGAGGCATGGAGATCAAGCACCTCTTCCCGGTCAGATGAGGCAGAAGTGAATTCAAAACCAGACAGCCGGGCTCCACTGTTGAAGGTGGGGTTCCTCCAGCGTGATCCCAGTGTGGAGGAGCAGGATCTCCATCAGGTTAGGCATCCTGCTCACAGGAGACTGACAGGACCCACCCCCGTTTCTCTCACCAGTCACCCCTGGACTCCCCCACGACTTTGCCTGATGAAGGAGAATGCAGGGACCACAGAGAAGACCCTGAACCACAGTGAGCAGGCTGGCACCCTGGACCTAGACTGGGGGAGACCTCTCCTTCCTCCACCCCAGCCTGTGGGGGCACGGGAGGGTCCAGGGCTCGCTATCCAGATGCCAGCCCTGGGCCAAAAGGCAGGCTTGGACGGCTCCGTGTTCAGGAGGGGCTCACCTGGGGAGACCAGCGGGTTGAGCCAGGCCCTGAGTCCACCCACTCACAGAATAAAACATTACTAACTCAGGCCACGTCTTGTTCTGGGGACATAAACACACAGCTCCCACCCCCAAAGTCTTGAGAGGACAAAGGAAGGGAGGGGCCCCCACTGGCAAGTTTTCTGCGCCTAGTGACAGCCCAAACAAAACCCCACAGTTACGTACAACGTAAACGCTTTATTAACAATCGCAGATCATCCCCGTGAGCGAGTGGTGGACCCCGACAGCCAGGACCCTGTAAACAGACCCAAACGTGAGATCCTGACCCGGCCACCCGGCAACTGCCAAACTCCCTTCCTGCCCTGGCCTTGTACGGCCCCCACCCTGAGACCCTCACCCTCACCCATGCATTTGGAGTAGCTCCCCTACTAGCACCAAGGGTCTGACAGGTTTGAGGCTTCCCACCCAGTCCTTCACTCACCAGCCACAGTTTCAGCGCAACCTCCGAGCTTCTCGCTCTGACTCCAAAAGGGTGAGCACGTCGCCCTCACGCACGGGGCCTTTCACGTTGCGGATGATGGAACGGCTCGTGTCGTCCATGAACTCCACGCGCACCTACGGGGCCCACCAGAGACCGCGCGGAGTTAGGGCCACTCACGGATACGCACCGCGTGGTGGGCAGCCGACTTCGATACAGAGGACGTGTTGGGGCCGGCCCAGGGACACTTAGAAAGGGGACTGAGTCTGGAGTCAGTGCTGAGCCAGCAGAGAAGCCGAAGAAAATCAGTAAGTGGAAAACTACGTTCTCGGGCGACAAAAGCAGCCACCAGTGTAGGGACAGCTGTAGCTCAGGTCCTGTTCGGGGCGGGGAGCACACTCAGCAGGGCATGGAGCCACAAAGAGGTCGCTGGGACGGCCCAAGAAGGAACCCGGAGAATGAAACTGACGGAGCTCAGACACGGTGGGCAAAGCCCTGAAGAGGGCTCGGACCCTCCGGGGACCCTTGGGATATAAGAGATTTCTGGTCTCAGAGACTAGCTGGCAGGGCAATCGTCAGGGCTCAGAGCCCGGGCACCCCCGATCCGCGCTCGCTCACCTGCGTGCACTGTCCCTGCGAGCCGGTCCTGCCCAGCACCTTGGTGACCTGGCGGAGAGAAACTGGGATCAGACCTTGCCCCTTTCCCATCTTTCTTCGCCTCGGCCCCCAAATCAGGACCCCCACCGCACCCTGGCCAGTTTGATGGGCTGCACACGACTCGTGTCCATGATGGCGGCGCGGCGGCGGTCAGGCGGAGAGGGGTCACGTGTTCCGAGGAGAGTCTTTATACTGCATCATAGCCCCGCCCCACCCCAGGCCTCGCGAGACCTGGAGAGTTTTCCCAGCAGCCCCCGCGATAGAGACGTCACCGGCGCCCTTCAGCACAGACGGAAAATGGCGTCCGCTACCCGCTTCATCCAGCGGCTGCGGAACTGGGCGTCCGGGGTGCGCGGAGGGGAAAGGGCCGAATGGGACGGGGCGGGGGGCTGTGGGTTCGGTGCTCCTCGGGCCCGCTCCCGCTAGTCCCCATCCTTCTGCACCCTTGAGCCTGAGGCTCTTGGTGCCGAGATTCTCCTAGGCTGGAACCCGTGTCTCAGCCCAGGACCCCCAACTCCTTCCGCCGACAAACCCACCTCCACCCCAGCCCTCGACCCGTTCAGGCCTGAGGTCCGCCTGATCCCAGACCTTCTTAGCCCTGTATCTTGTGGCCCAGGCCCTAGCTCTCCTTATCTCCTCCGGGGCTCATATCCCTGTGCCAAACTGCCCATCTCCGACCTTCCCTTCTCCATCCCTGGGATGCCCCTGCTCCCTCGCCCTCTCCTCTCCTGGGGTGCCCTGCAGGCTGACCTCCTTCCTCTCCTCCCACAGCGAGACTTGCAGGCGAAGCTGCAGCTGCGCTACCAGGAGATCTCCAAGCGGTGAGCAAGCCCCCGCTCGCTGCCCTCACTCCGGCTCTGTCCTGTTATTCTGACGTCAGGAACAAAATACGAATTCCATTAGATCCCTGGAGTGCTGGGCCGGAATCCTGCCTCCGTCCCTGGCAGTCTGTGGAAGCAGAGGTTGGATTTTAACTTCCCTGTACTCCGAGCCGGCTGCTCGTGGAACAGTCAGGTCGGGCATGAATTCAGAGTGGACTGTGTAGCTGTGCAGTCCCCAGTGTGGCCCTGCAAGCTAGTTATCACCCCCAAACTCCAAATGAAAACAGTTAAGGTGCAGACAGACTAAATCATCGGCTTAAAGTTACGCGGAAGCGTGAAAATGACAGTTGACATTTGAACCCAGAAGCGTCTTGATTCCCAACTCATTTATGTCCATAAATTGCTTAATAGTTACAAGACCCTGCCCTGTTCTCAGGGATAACAGCACCAACAAGGAAAGTTATTGTTCTCATTCCTGTTACGGAGGTCAAGTTCTAGGAAGAGTGAAATGTAATAGGGAAATAAACACAACAGGTAGAAAGCGTTCTGCAATGCTCTGAAGACAAAATGAATTGGAGTAAGCTGGAGGGTGGCAACTTCATGTCAGGCGGCCAGGAAAGGTCTGGTTTTCTGGGATTGACATGTGAGCGGCCTGAACGAGAAAGAGCCAAAGGATAATTATTGAAAGAACATTCTGACAGAGGCCAAGGCTGTGGAGGCTGGGCAGAGCCAGAAGGGGGAAAGCCACGGGGGCTGGAGCACATTGAGGACCGGAGAGAGCAGTATAGGAAGTCAAGGGAGCTGGCAAAGGTAAGGCAGCCGGTTAGGATTAGCACGAAAGGAGACAAAAAATATCGTTAGAATAACCAAGTGTATGTGAAAACCTCGATGCTGTAACTAATTCCAACTATCTGAAGTTTTGTTTTGTTTTATGTTTCTTACGTATTTTTGAGAGTCAGAGAGAGACAGCGCGAGCAGGGGAGGGTCAGAGAGACAGAGAGAGCTACAGAATCCAAAGACAGGCTCCAGGCTCTGAGCTAGCTGTCAGCACAGAGCCTGACTTGGGGCTCGAACCCACAAATGGTGAGATCATGATCTGAGCCACGGTCGGACGCTTAACTGACTGAGCCGCCCAGGCGCCCCTAACTATTGGAAGTTTTTTTTAATGTATTTTTTTAATTTTTTAATGTTTATTTATTTATTTATTTTAAATGTTTATTTCTAGGAGACAGAGAGAGAGAGACAGCGTGAGCAGGGGAGGGTCAGAGAGAGAGGGAGTCACAGACTGAAACAGGCTCCAGGCTCTGAGCTGGCAGTCAGCACAGAGCCTGACGCGGGGCTCGAACCCACGAACCGTGAGATCATGACCTAAGCGAAAGTCGGACGCTTAACCAACTAAGCCACCCAGGCACCCCTATTTATTTCTGAGAGAGAGAGAGGGAGACAGAATCTGAAACAGGCTCCAGGCTCTGAGCTAGCTGTCAGCACAGAGCCTGACACGGGGCTTGAACCCACAAACTGTGAGATCATGACCTGAGCCAAAGTCAGATGCTTAACCGACAGAGCCACCCAGGTGCCTCCATAACTATTGGAAGTTTTAAGTTGCTGTTCTGTCTAGGGTCATAGGTGAGCAAGTGAGGAAACAGTTAAAAAAAAAATTTCCAACTTCCTTAGGATAATGGCGCCCCCTAGTGGTTCCTATGGGTCTTTCCATTGGGCACTGGTTCTTCCCTTTCTGCTAGGTGGTGGAGAGCCATGGCCACAAGCATAGGGGGCCGTCTGGACTCCAGGGGTTAAGCCAATTCTAACAGGATGTTGCTTTTTAATTTTTTTACTTTTTTAATTTTTAAGTAGTCTCTACACTCAGCATGGGGCTCGAACTCATAACCGTGAGATCAAAAGTCACATGTTCTGGCCTCTACCAACAGCCAGCCAGGCACCCCAGGATATAGCTTTTAATATTACTTTTTTTTTTTAAATTTTTTAAAATGTTTTTATTTATTTCTAGGAGAGAGAGAGAGACAGTGTGAGCAGGGGAGGGTCAGAGAGAGAGGGAGTCACAGACTCTGAAACAGGCTCCAGGCTCTGAGCTGGCAGTGAGCACAGAGCCCGACACGGGGCTCGAACCCATGAACTGCGTGATTATGACCTAAGCGAAAGTCGGACGCTTAACCGACCAAGCTATCCAGGCGCCCCTAATATTAAATTTTTAAACTTTATTTTTCTTCATATTTCTCATTAAAAATTTTTTTAGTGTTTACTTTTTTTGAGAGAGAGAGAGCGCGTGTGCGTGTGCTTGAACAGGTGAGAGGCAGAGACAGGGAGAGAGAGAATCCCAGGCACGTGCCCCTCTCATTCTTTTACACAATGGTCATCACTTGTTTTAAGAAGATCTTAAGTCCTGGAGTGCCTGTGTGGCTCAGTCCATTAAGCGTCTAACTCTCGATTTTGGCTCAGGTCATGATGTCACTCTTCATGAGATCAGGCCCCAAGTTAGGCTCTGTACTGACAGCGTAGAGCTTGCTTGGGTTTCTCTCTCTCCCTCTCTCTTCCTCTGCTTTACTTGCTTGCTTTCCCTCTCTCCCTCTTTGTCTCAAAATAGTAAATTTTTAAAAAGTAAAAAAAAGAAAAAAGAAAAGAAAAACTTCTGGCAAAACAACAGTTTTAAAACATGGTTGAATGAATCTCAATGATTTTATGATCTCTCCTATCTTATCTGCCTTTCCTGTCTGCTGTGTTTTCCAGGGAAGCTTCTTTTTTGTTTTGAGGTTAGCATTTCCTTTTCAGGCATCTGGCTCCTTTGGAAATTCACTGCAGGTTTTAGCCCAGCCCAGGACAGAGCTGTATTCACTCACCCACTGCCACCCCCCACTCCAGCTTTGGCTGTGGCTGTGGCCACCAGGAGGTGGCAGGAAACTCAGAGACCTCAGAGGACAAGGTGCTCTTTGAGCAATAAGCCTTGATCCCAGCAGGGTTTTCCAGAGAATTCCTGAGATAACTGGAAACCCAGGCGTTCTGTAGTCTGGCTTTTGGGACAAAGACCCTCAGAAGAAGCTAAGCCTGGGGCTATTGCCCAAGCATTTATGCACTAAGGCCACTGGATGTGAGGTGGTCAGAGCCTCAGACCCTGGTCCCTTCATTTCCTGAGCACCTGCAGGTGCAAGTGAGGCCAGATGCAAGCTCTGGGCCATGGTGGGGTGGGAAGACGTCTGGGTGTACAGTCTGGGCCAGCCCCATCCCTGGGAAGCCTCAGAAAAGGTCCTCCAGTTCGGTCATGTTTGGGGCATACCTGGCCTTGCTTTCCAGCACCTTCCTATCCAGAGCAGAGGTTGCTACCTGCCCCAGGGCCTTGGATCCTCCCAAGCCATACATCCACCACCGTGGGGCACGGGAATCCTGAGGTGACAGGCCCATGCCAGCCTCGCTGGGCCGTAAGAGTGACGTTCTAGCTTCAGCGTTGATGTTCTTTTCCCTCAGAACTCAGCCCCCTCCCCGGCTCCCTGTGGGCCCCAGCCACAAGCTCTCCAGCAACTACTACTGCACTCGCGACGGCCGCCGGGAAGCTGTGCCGCCCTCAGTCATCATGTCTTCGCAGAAGGTTCTGGCGTCGGGCAAGCCTGCCGAGAGGTGAGGAGGCACCGCCTTCCAGAAAGCAGCCCTTCCTCTTGTTCTTGTGCGTGTGCTTCTCCGGGTGCCTGTGTGTGGAGCCTCACCAGAGTCGAGAGCTGTGCTGCTGGGGCTTTTCACAGGAGAGCCCGGTGTCCCTACCCAACCCAGGGGAGGGTTTGGGGCCATTCCGCAAAGCACGTGAATGAAGCCCCAGGGGCCCTTCAGGGCTCTGGGAGAAGCCCGGGTGTTGCTTTAGTAATTGGGTGGGTTTTTTCTTTTTTTTTTTTTTTTTAATTGAGGCGTAATTGACATCAGCGTGAGGTGAACCACAGGGACTTGCTGTTTGTATACATTTGGAGTGGTCACATGGTTACACGTTGTTTTCCCTTTCGATGAGAACTTTTAAGATCCACTCTCTTAGCAGCTTTCAAATACGCAGTCTAGTGTTAACTACAGTCACTGTGCGGCACATCACATCCCCAGGACTTGATGGGAACTTTGTACCTTTTTGACCCCCTTACCCATTTCGTCCCCCCGCCCCCTATCTCTGGTAACAACCAGTCTGTTCTTTTTTTTTTTTTTTTAAACGTTTTTATTTATTATTGAGAGACAGAGCATGAGCAGGGGAGGGGCAGAGACGGGGAGACACAGAATCTGAAGCAGGCTCCAGGCTCTGAGCTGTCAGCACAGAGCCAGACGCGAGGCTCGAACTCACAAACCATGAGATCATGACCTGAGCCAAAGTCAGACACTTAACCGACTGAGCCCCTCAGGTGCCCCGTCTAATCTGTTCTTTTTATCTGTGAGTTTAGTTTTCTGTTTTGTTTTTAGATTCCGCACATAAGTGACATCCTGTAGAATTGATCTTTCCCTGACATATCTCACTTAGCATAGTACCCTCAGGGTCCGTCCATACTGTTGCAAATGGGGACTTTCATTTCTCTGGCTCAAGAGTATTCAGCTCTGTCTACATGTGCATATGTACCTATATGTATATATGTGTGCACACACCCCATTTTCTTTGTACTTTTTTTTAAAGAATTATGTAAATTTCAGGCCCCCCCCTTTTTAAAATTTTTTAACGTTTATTCATTTTTGAGAGACACAGAGCGTGAGCAGGGGAGGAGCAGAGAGAGACGGAGACACAATCAGAAGCAGGCTCCAAGCTCTCAGCTATCAGCACAGAGCCCAACACGGGGCTTGAACTCACGAACCGCGAGATCGTGACCTGAGCTGAAGTCAGATGCCCAACCAACTGAGCCACCCAGGCACTCCTCAGGCTCCTTAAAACTCAGTTTTGTCCCTGGCCTCAGACGCCTTCTCTTAAATGAGTGGGACAATAATATCTATTGTAGGGAACTTATTTTAGTCCATTCAGGCAGCTATGACAATATCATAGACTGGGGTGGCTTATAAACAACAGAAACTTCTATTTCTCATAGTTCTGGAGGCAGGGAAGTCCAAGATCGTGGTGCTGGTAGACTCCATATCTGGCGAGTGTATTCTTCCTGGCTCATAGATGGCGTTTTCTTGCTATTTCCTCACATGGTCGAAGGGGTAATGGGTGTCTAGGGTCTCTTATAAGGGCACTAACGCCATTCCTGAGAGCTCCTCCCTTATGACCTAATCACCTCTCAAGTGCTCTACCTCCAGATGCCATCACACTGAAGGCTGGGACTTCAATATATGCATTTAGGAGAGACAAAACATCCAATTTATAGCAGAGTTGTTATGAGGAGTCTCATAATTAATATTTGTAAGGTTTTAGAATGGAGTCAGTGCCATGCCTGCCTACGAAGCATGGGTTAGGCAGTAATGGGCCCTGTTACAGAAGAGAAAATTGAGGCACAGAGAGGCCAGTTGAGCTGCTTGGGTTACACAGCCAGTGGGTAGCAGAAGCAGGATTCCAACCCATTTTGCCCAGACCCTCCGTGGTGTCTGGTCTCTACAGCCAATTCACTATGTGGTCTGCAGCCAGTCCCTCAGCCTTCTGGAGCCTCCGTCTCTTCATCTGGAAAATGGGGATGGTGGGCTTGCAGTACGACCCATCCGTCAGGCGGTGAGGCCGGGATGGGCCTGGGGTATCGTTAGAACTCAGTGAACCGGCCGTGTCATGGTCCTTAATATCTCCTGACTCACCAGTGCCCAGCGCCAGGCTGTGGGAGTCCACCCTGCCCCCCCCCCCCCCCAAGCTCCCTCACCCGCCCCTGGAATGCCTCCATCTCCTAGGGAGCCTGATTCTGCCCCTTCACCCCCTTCAGGCTCCTGGGAGGCTGGGCGGCCAGGAACCCCGGCTCCCCGGCGCCGCCCGCGAGGGCCTCCTCTGTCTCCTCTCTCTGCCCGCGGTGTGCGCAGGCCTCCACAGTCCTGGGCACCAGGGGCTTGGCTGGGCCGGGCGGCACTTGCCTTGGATTTGCTGCCACAGTGCCTCCTTAGGACCCACTCCGGGTCCGGCGGTGTATTTTTTTAATTGCACCTGAACCTCCGCCCCATTAGACTGAGGCCAGGGCCCGGTCTGAGCGCCGCGCTGGGGTACCTTCAGCGCCTGCCTGGGAGCAGGTGCTCAGCACCTGAGGGAGGAGAGAGCGGTGGGCTTGTCCTCTTTGCCAGTATCCTGTTTGGAACAGGGTGCTCGTCCACCTGGGGGGGGGGGGGCGCAGGTGTCCTGGAGAAGGAGCCCAGCTGTTCACGGCTGGCTTTGGGCTGGGAGCCGGGGCAGGCCGGTGGGGCGTTCACATGGGGCTTGGGCAGGACGGGGACTGGCTGACCCTGTGGGGACCCCAGTGAGGGTGTTTGGGCCTGTGGAGCACCCTTTCTCTGGCCTCAGACCCCCAGTCTCAGCAGGCGTGTTCCTGCTGGGCGCGGTGTGCGCTTCCTCAAATCTGCGCATGCGGCTCCGGACACCTGGCGCTAGCTAACCAAAGTCCGTCTTCCTCTCCAGCTCGGCCGCCGCTGCCACCGAGAAGAAGGCCGTGTCGCCGGCTCCTCCCATAAAGAGGTGGGAGCTGTCCACGGATCAGCCTTACCTGTGACTGCACCCTGGGCCACCTGGCCGGGCCCTCAGGGCCACCTGAGTGCTTCCCCTCCTTGTATTCCCTCTGGGGAGACCGGAACCTAATTTATGATGAATACACCCTGCTCTCCAGCGTCACCTCTGTGTTTCCTTTCAAAGCTGCACGCGGCTTACGTGGAGCTCCCAGTGAAGCCGGTGCTGAATCTCTTAACTGTCAGCACTCCAGGAGCAGGGGCGGGATGGGGGCTCTTGAGCTTCAGGGTGACGTGCTGTCGCCGGGCACAGAGTCAGATGACGTGGGCTCCAGGGACAGGGCGTCTAGAGTTGGCACCGTCCCTTCTCCGAGGGCCTGGCTAACCTAGAGAGCAGTGGGGTCGGTTCCAGGACCTCTGGGTGTTTGGGGGGCCCTGACTGGGGGCCAGCGAGGCTGAGCACAGACTCTCCACTAGGTCCGTCGAGAGCTCCCGCAGCTGTGGCTCATGTGGCCTTGGGCCAGTACCCTTCCACCGCAGCCCCTGTCTGACCTTGACTGCCCCGCAGCTCCTGGGCTGGCCGAGAACAGCAGGGCCACTCACACGGAAGGCTTGCCTGCCCTGGGTGAGGAAAGGCCCCACTGAGCCAGAAACTTTTCTGCACAGGCCCTGGGGAGGGAGGCGAGTCTGCCTAGGGAAGGAAGGGGGGCTGGTCCTAAGAGGATTGAGCAGTTGAGTGAAAGCCAGAAAAGAAAGCCCAAGTTCAACCGCCCTGTGGAAGAGCCCTACAACCCTTCTGTAGGGTAAGTTCAGGGTGTGAGAGGGCCGTGTTGTCCGGAAGCACAGAGCAAGCAGGGAAGGATAAGGGTTCTAGGCAGGAGGTGTGTAGGGGGCCCCAGAGTGGGCCATACAAATGCTAAGAGCTCAAGGGCAGAAAACTGAGGGCCGAAGCCCCCAGGGAAGGCTTTCTGGAGGAGGTGGGATTCTAACTGGAGCAAAGGGTGAATCAGATTCAGGAAGAATATCAGGAAGGAGAGGAAGGCCGGGCAGGGTGTCCTGAGGGCTTCCACAGAGGCAGACTTCTGGATAGTTTCAGGACACAGACTCGAAATTTGGCAGGGGACTGGGGGTGGGAAAGAGGTCGGACACGTCACTTTCCTGCGGGTCAGGTGCTGCTGTGAATGCTATCTGTGATCTCAGTTCATTCCCAGAGCTGTCTTGTGAGGTCAGCGCCCGTTGCCATGCCCCCCGGACAGAGCAGCAGGAATGGAAGGGCCAGGAACTTGCTCGGGTGCACTGAACTCTGACTTGAACCTGAGGGAGTCTGTGCCAGCTGCTACAAATGGGTGGCTTCCTCACTTTTATCCCTGCACCCCAGAGCCCTCTCACCAGGAGGCCATGACTCAACCCTGGGGAATCTGGGAGTTTAAGAAACAGTGACAACAAAACCCACCAGCATATGTTACACACTCCAAAAGCAGCCATAACCTCCAACATTTTCAAATACTGAATCATGCCAACAACCTGAAAACTGCCCCATGTGGGAAAATCTGGATGCTTTAGTGTTGCTTCATGGGAAACTTGGGGGGGGGGTGAATACTTGCACCCCTTGTCAACGTCGAGGTTCTGCGGGCAGTCTGACGCATTGCTTCTTCTGAAGGCAGAGCTGTAGATAAAATATTTATTTTCAAGACGACACAGCAGATGATTGGATAGGACGCCTGCGGAAGGTTTGTATTTTCTGTGCCTAGGGGTGAGCGTGACGAGAAAGACCACGGGCCGCCTTTGGGGATCTTGTTCCGGAAGAGTAATACCCACTTTTGGGGGAGGTGGCCTATGAAGACTGAATGAAACGGCGGGCGTGAGTGAGCACACGCGGCTGGCCTGAGTGATCTTGGTGGCCCTCTCTGAGGTTCCCAGAGTCCACTCAGCTGGAGGGAAGCTCCCTGTAGGCACAGGTGACCCTGCCTTTCAGCTGTGAGCTCAGGTTCACACACTTAACCTATTCCTTCCTGAGTTCTCTCCTTACCTGGTCCCCCGCCTCACCGCGGAGTCCCTGCCTTTACGGGCACATCCAGGTGCAAAGACAGGACCCATGATAGAAGCCAGGCGATTTATTCATTTACTCACGGATCTTTAAGAGCCTACTGTTGTGGCAGACAGTGTTCTAGGATACGGTGGGGGAGGGTACAGTGAGCAACGCAGCTCTCCAGTCCTGCAGCTGACCTTCTAGTAGTCATCAGACCCTAAACTAGGATAAGTAAGAGAAGCAGGAGGAAGGGGCTGCCATATTAAATACGATAATTAGTAACATTTGCTGTAGGATGCATGCGAAACATTTAATTTTGTGAGCGGACACCGACAAGTTCGTTTACATCCCCATTAGCTTCTAACTTAGAATGGACCCAACACCTTTCGATATACCTTGTCAGTGTCAAAAGTGGGTTAGAGCCTCAAACCGTGGGGTTCCCCCATACTCGGACATTTACGGTACCCGTAGCAGCAGGCGCCGGGGGAGGTGTGTGGGCCCCGCCCCCGGGCGCTGCGCGCGTGCGCCGGGATAAAAGCGAGGCCCAGCGCGCGCGCCGCCAGTGCCAGGGCGGGGACGGTGCGGCGAGCGGCTGCATGGCGCGGGGAGGAGCCCGGCGGACGGCGGCCCTGGGCCTGGCGCTGCGGCTGCTGCTCGGCCTCGGACTGGGCCTGGAGGCCGCCCCGATCCGGTTCTTGGTCCACAGACCAGGTGAGTGAGCGCTGCGCAGCGGGTGGCGCGCCCCTCGGCGGTCCGACCCCACCCCGCGCGCCGGCGGCGTCTAGCCATTGGCTGTGCCGCTGGTGCGTCCCGGACACTCCCCCGGCACGTGGCTCGGGACTCGAGCGTGCCGGGAGCCTGGCCTTGGAGAGCGAGCCGTCCCCAGCGAGGGACCCTCCCCCAGGGTGGTCCCCCTGCCTTTAACCATTCTGCTTCTACCCTGCCCACACCGCACTCCGCTCTGCTTTGTCGGAGTCCTTTGTCACCTCCAAGCCGACCTTTAGCCCAGCGTGGGCAGGAAGGTTTGTTGCAGGCTCGGGTTGTCCGACCTCTAACCGTGCGTGGCCGGTCACCTGGCGCCTCTGGGGAGCAGCTGCGCCTCCTAAATTCTCGCCGGACCCTGAGGCCATGTGGCTGCGTTTCCTGGGAAACCACCCTCCGCCCTCCCCATCTCTGAACCTTTCTCCTCTGGCCTTGCGGAACGAAAGGTTTTCCTCCCTCCCTGTGGCCCCCCAGGCCCTTGGAAACATGCGCCTGGGCCCAGGTGATCTTGGTGGCCCTCTCTGAGGTTCCTAGAATCAGCTCAGCGGGAGGGACCTTTCTGTAGGCACACGTGGGCCTGGCGTTCAGCTCTGAGCTCAGGGTCACACACGGAACCCCTTCCTTCCTGAGTTCTTGCCTTACCTGGTCCCCCCCCCCCACCCCCAACCTCACCGCTGAGTCCCCTGCCTTTACAGGCTAAATGTTCCTGGTTCCTTTAAGGAGGCAGGACTCGCCTTGACCAAGTTCCAAACTCCACAAGTGGTTTTCTCTCCTTAGGACACTGAGGTGGGGACTCCTAGCAAGCTCCTTTTACAGGGGAGGAAACTGAGTCACTGGTCACCCCTGTGTGACCCCGCAAGGCCTAGTCTGCTGTGCTCTGCCTCCCGCTTTCCAGGAAGGCGAGACACTCCTGGGAGGGAGGTCGGGGGTTGGCAGGGCCGGGAGACCCTGGTGCGCAGGGAAGGATGCCGGCTCCAGGTCGGCCACAGCCCTTCCCGGCTTCACCAAGCTTAGGGACTGCGTGGGCCACAGGTACCTTTGGGCCTGGAGGCCTGTGGAGGGACTGGCTGTGGGGAGCAGGGTTTGGCTGTTTGGACGCCCCGGCCCCTGAGTAAAGGTAGGAGTGGCAAGAAGGCCAGGATCGAATGGGGTGGGACCAGGCTGGGTCCAAGCCAGGTATTTGTCACCTGCCCAACTGCACCTGGGAGGGGAGCCTTACAGGCCATTGCCTTCCTCTGTCACTCAGACTCCCTCCTGCTGGCCCCGGCTCCTGGCCCTTCGGTGCCCCTCCAGCTCAGCCTCACTGCCTGGGGTGCAGGAAGGCTCAGATCTCATCTGGACTCAGCCTGGACCCTTGTGTGACCTGTTTCCGCTTATTGTCAGGCACCGCCCTGGCCCTGCAGTCACTAGGTCCTGGCCCCGATCTCCACTGAGTGTCCTTGCCAGCCGCGTGGGTACCAGTTTGAGGACCGTTGTTCTAACTGGAAGGTAGAGCTTCAGGCATCTGCGAGTCGCAGGAAAACTCCTCCCAGGAAAGCAGCTGAGACCTGAAGGCTGAGGGGGAGTCACCAGTTGTACAGTGGGTGCAGGAAAGGGTGCATCAGCCCAAGGAACAGCACGGGCAAAGGCCCAGGGGTGGAAATGAGCCAGGCCTCTTGCAGAACAGCGAGAAGGCTGGGGCAGAGGGTGCTGGTTGGGGAGGAAGCATGAGGGAGGAGGTGAGGTCCAGAAAGCATTTGGGGCTGGGCCAGGCATTGGAGCCACACGGGAAAAATAGGGATTTGGTGTGAGAGGGTCAGGGGACCAGGGCACAGTTTTGAGCAGAGGGGAGGCAAGGGTGGGTGACTGAATGATGGGATCCTGTGACGTCTCCAGCGTCCCGGTGGGGGTGGGGCCTGTCTAGGAGGTGGCACATTCCAGATGGGGAAAGTGGTTGGATCGGGGCGGAATTTCGGAGGTGAGTGGATAGGCTTTGGTGGTGAAGCAGGTCCTCTGCCCAGGGCCTCAGTTTCCCCTTTGCTAAGTAGGTGGGATGTAACGCACCCTGCTGACCCTGACCGTGGGCAGGTTCAGAGATGGACCCTACCCTAGTCTGTTCAGCCAGGGATCAGTGAGACCTGGGCTCAGACCTCAACACTGCCACCAGCCCGGCAGCCTGGGTCCTTATCTCTCCTGGGTGTCTTCCCAGCATGGGGTGAGGGGTGGGGGGACAGTAGGACCTGCCCTGTGAACTGCTCAGCGCCACGCCTCACACGTGGTGGGTCCTCAGCAAACGCTGGCCGCCAAGGGCATTCCAGCGCCCTGGGACCTGGCCGGTCTCCCGGCGGTCAGTCTGTAACGTTGTGCCCCTGGCGGAGGCCAAGACCTCCCAGACCTCACTGGTGTGCGTCCTGCAGGCTCGTGCCCGCCCACCAACTTCCAGTGCCGCACCAGTGGCTTCTGCCTGCCCCTCCCTCTGCGCTGCGATGGCGACAAGGACTGCCCAGATGGCAGCGATGAGGAGTGCAGTGAGTAGCCTCGCTCCTGGGCGGGGCGTGAGGAGGCGGGGCCGCAGGGAGGGGCGGGGCTTGGGGAGGGGCGGGGCCTTCGGCGGCTCACAATGGGGCGGGGCCGGCGTGGGAAGAAGTGGGTTTCCTGGGAGGTGGGCTTAGTGGGGCCTTGGGAGGAGCGGCTCGCAGGGGGCCGGTGGTGTGTGGGATCTGATCGACCCTGCACCTCAGGCATCAAGCCTTGCGCCCAGGACGGACAGTGCCTGCCACCCACTGGCAGCCCCTGCCCTTGTGACAGCGTCGATGACTGCCCTGATGGCATCAACCAGAGCGCTCATCACAACTGCAGTTACCAGCCCTGCCCAGAGGGGGAGCTCCACTGCGTGGGGAGCAGTGACTGCATCCCGCGCACCTGGCTCTGCGATGGCCATTCGGACTGTCCCACCTCCAGCGACGAGCTTGGCTGTGGTGTGTGTCATGGGACCTCCGCGTGCCTGCGGGGGTGGGGAGCCCCGGGCGTTAGATAAGTGACCCCTTCCAGTGGGTGACCAGGCTCGAGGAGCGGCCCTTGGATCTTCTTGCGCCTGCATCCCCGTGGCGGCAACGGTGCCCACTGACCTCACTGGCTCTGGGATGGAAGATATGAGCCCCAAGCTGCCCCCAGACATTTGGGACACGGGTTCACCCTTCCCCGCCCCTCATGCCCTCAGCGCCAACTCCCCAGCTATTGAAATGCCTGCACTTGTTGCAGGAACTAAGACACCCCAGGAGGGGAATGTCACAGCGACGGGGATCCCTGTGACCCTGGTCACTGTCCCTGAACTCGGGAATGCCACAGCCACCTCCGTTGGGGACCAGGACTCAGTCCAGTCTGGAAACCGAAGCGCTTGTGGGGTTATTGCCGCTGCCGGTAAGATGACCAGGCCCTCCCGCTCCTGGGGGCAAGGGACGGCTGGGGGAGGGAACAGGGCTGTCACGGACTCCTGTCTGTCCGTCTGTCCCCCACAGTGGTGCTGAGCGCAGGCCTGGCTGCTATCTGCCTGTTCGTGTTGTCCCGGCTCTGGGCCCGGGGGCGCCTGACCCGCCTGGGGCTGCTCATGGTCGTGAAGGAGTCCCTGCTGCTGTCAGACAGGAAGACCTCACTGCTCTGAGGACCAGCTGCTGCCCACACACCGCCGGGGCCCCTGGTGGGGCCGCTTCTGGCCGTGCAGCACTGTGGACCTGAGCCCCTGCACATGTGGCCCTGGAGGCCACGGGCACCTGGACGCTCGCCCTGGACGCAGGAAGCCTGGCCGGGGGAACACGCTGCAGCGGGGACTCAGGGCTGGCCCCGAGATGCTCCTGGGATGGCCCCAACTGACACACTCCTGCCTCTGTCTGAGGGTGGTGATTAAAGTTACTTCCATCCTCTGCTGCCTCTGGGCCTCTGTCTCCCTCTGCCTCTCTTGTGTGGTGGGTGGGGCTCGGGGACCCAGCCCTGGGCGCTCCCTTGGCCGCTCTGCCTCCGGCTTCCTGGGACCCAGAGCTGGCGGCATCTGTGTTCCTGGGACCCAGAGTGGGGCGTGGGCATGGCCCCTGGGCCTCCTGGGGGACCGCCACCCATCACAGCGTTTTCCTCTCCTCCAAGATGTAAGCTGGGCATCTTGGGGTTGGTCTGGGCTCCACCCAGTTTTAAAATGTAGGAATGTGTGTGAGCAGGGCAGGGGCAGGGAGAGAGAGAGAGAGAGAGAGAGAGAGAGAATCGCAAGCAGGCTCTGCGCAGTCAGCGCAGAGTCTGCTCCCGGGCTCGAACTCACAACAGTGAGATCGTGACCTGAGCCGGAACCGAGGGTGGGACGCTTAACCCTCTGAGCCACCCAGGCGCCCCAGAAGCGTAGGCCTTGTTATTGTGCAGGTGTGGTGAGGCCCGTGGAACAGGAGACTGCCCTTGAAAAGACTAACTGTTCCCAAAAGGAGGCGGCACCCTGGGCCACACGGAGGCCACACCGGGAAGGAGGCCCCAGTGTCCGTCAGGCCGAGGGAGCCAGAGGAGAATGTGGGCAAGAACCTTTGTTGTGGCTCCCGTGGGAAGGAGGAGTGGGTGAGGCGGGGTAAGCAGGCCTGGGACTGGCGGGGCTCTGGGGGGGGTGGGCGTTGTCTGTAGCACAGGCCCCAGGCTGTTGTCGGTGACACCAGGCTAAGAACAACACCGGGGACCTCCTGGGCCCGTGCTGTGCCCTATGAGCCCCACAGACCATCCCCATCTGCAGCCTGTGGACCAGCCCTTGTGGCCCTGCTTAGGATCACAGGATACCCTGCAGCAGAGCATGCTGGGAGAGCACTCGGGACCCCACACTCGGTCTTGGGGCTCCCACATCTGGCAGGCAGAGCGCTGGCCCCTGACCATGAGATGCTGGGTAGGGGCAGAGAGCAGGTGCAGCAGGAGGGCTTCCTAGGGGTGGTGAAGTTGGGCTTTGGGACTCCACCCACCTCCCAGTGGGGGAAGGCGGTTGAGGTAGGTGTTGGAGTCTGGGCGTTGGGCCGTGTACGGGGGGCCCGAGTTCTAGCTCAGTGCCGAGGGCAGCAGGAGTGCAGGCCTGGGAGGTGGGCTGCAGCTACGATGGGGGCCGCCGTCTCCTGGGGTCCAGGGCCTTAGCTTGGTGCCCACCGGAGCCAAGGTGGCCCGATGCAGAACCGAGAGCTGCTTACAGGTGCCGGAAGGAGTTCTACCAGAGGGTAGGATTTTCTTGGGTTCAGGTTTTTCTCCCTTTTGCTCAGGCGTGGTCAGCCTTAGTGGGTCAGGGGGCATGTAAGGGGGTATGAGGCCACTTGTCATGTGCCATGGGTTGTCACATGGATTCTTAGCTATCAGTGGAGCAAATCACCTGTGCTTGGGGGCTCCGTCGCTCCACTGTATTCTTGTTCGTGGCTGGCAGCTCTCTGGTCCATGAGGAGCGGCGGCTGTCGTCCTCTGCGGGCTGGGCTGGTTGGACCTCACCATCTAGAATTTCTCTGCCCTGTCTGGCGCCTTGGGATGGCCAGGCCAGCTGGGCCACTCACGCTCCATGTGGCTTTTCCATGTGGCCATTGGAGCAGAATGGCCTTATCTCTTTCCCGGCAACTCAGGGCTCGTCAAAGGGCAGAGCTAAAGGCACCAGACCTCCCGGCTCAGGCCGAGATCCAGGCCAGCATCTCTTCTGGGGCATTCTCTGGAATCTGTGGAGTCCCAGGTCAGCCCAGGCATGCGCGGGGACCATGCACACAGCTGTGAACATGGGGAGGGGCCAGGATGATGGTGCCGACCTTGCGGACCAGCTGGTGCGGGGGGCAGGGGAGGGGGGCTCCCTGAGCCAGTGGACTCTGTGGGCCCGCAGCTCTACTCTCAGGGACGGCTTTGTCATCCGCGCCCAGGGACAGTCACAGGTACAGACACCTGTCGCTGTGAGCCTGTTGGGGTTTCACCTTCCTTTGTTCCTGGAGCGGGAGAAGGACTCGCGCTGCTGTTCTGTGGCCGAGCCCAGTGAGTCACTGCCAGGAACCTGCATGGAGGGTCCAGGTTTCAAAGTGTGTGTGTGTGTGTGTGTGTGTGTGTGTGTGTGTGTGAGAGAGAGAGAGAGAGAGAGAGAGAGAGAGCGCGAGCCAGCCTGCAAGGAGGGGGAGGGGCAGGTGGGAGCTGCAAGTGAAGATGGGGGGGTGTATCTCTGTGCAACTCAGCTATTCCTCTTTTATTTTTTAATTGAGGGGAACTTCACATAAAATTAACCATTAACCGTCTTAAAGTGTACAGTTTACTGGCATTTGGTACATTAACAATGTTGTACAATCATCATCCCTGTCTAGTTCTAAGACATTTTCTTTCTTTTTTTTTAAGTTTATTATTTTTTTATTTTTATTTTTTTTAATATTTTTATTTATTTCTAGGAGAGAGAGAGACAGCGTGAGCAGGGGAGGGTCAGAGAGAGAGGGAGTCACAGATTGAAACAGGCTCCATGCTCTGAGCTGGCAGTCAGCACAGAGCCCAACGCGGGGCTCGAACCCACGAACCGCGAGATCATGACCCAAGCGAAAGTCGGATGCTTAACCGACTAAGCCACCCAGGTGCCCCTTAAGTTTATTATTTTGAGAGAGAGAGGGGGAGGGAGGGAGAGCATGAGCGGGGGAGGGGCAAAGAGCGAATCCCAAGCAGGCTCTGCACCATCAGCATGGAGCCCCACATGGGGATTGAACTCACGAGCAGTGAGACCACGATCTGAGCTGAAGCCAAGAGTTGGGTGCTGAACTGACTGAACCACCCAGGCACCCCTCTTTCTTTTCTTTTTTCTTTTTTCTTCTTTTTACTTTTTCTTTCTCTTATTTATTTTGAGAGAGAGAGAGAGAGAGAGAGAGAGTGTGTGTGTGTGTGTGTGTGTGTGCGCACGTGCACAGGAGGGGCAGACAGAAAGGGAGAGAATCCCAAGCAGGCTCTACACTGTCAGCACAGAGCCTAATGTGGGGCTCGAACTCATGAACTGTGAGATCATGACCTGAACCGAAATCAAGAGGCAGATGCTTAACTGACTGAGCCACCCAGATGCCCCTAGATCCAAAACGTTTTCATTCCCCCCTCAAAGGAAACCCTGTCTCCATTAACCCCTGTTCCCCATGTCCTTCCTCCAGCCCCTGGTGCTTACTAACCCACTTTCTGTTTCCGTGGATTTGCCTGTTCCAGACATTTCATAGGGATGGAATCACATCATAGGTGGCCTTTGATGTCTTGCTTCTTCCACTGAACATCTCATTTCCCCCGCAAAGTTTCCCCCAAGGTTCTTCCCCCAAAGTTTCCATGTGGCTTTTTTAATACCCCACCCTCCCATCACCATGACCTAGGCAACCATTGATTGGCTTCTGACACTACAGATTAACTTTCTAGAATCATATAGTAGGTGCCCTGTTTTATCTGTCAGTTTTTACCTGACACGTTTAAGATCTGTGCATATTGTTGCATGTGCTAAAAATTAACTTTTTTTTTTTATTGCTAAGCCCTATTCCACTGTATGGCTAGCCCACACTCCACTTAGTGTGTGTTGATGGACATTTAGGTCATTTCCAGTTATTTATTTTTTATTTTTTTAATGTTTATTTTGAGAGAGAAAATGAGCAGGGGAAGGGCAGAGAGAAGATCCCAAGCAGACCCCGCTCAGGTAGTGCAGAGCCCGACATGAAGCTCGATCTCACAAACCATGAGATCATGACCTGAACCAAAATCAAGAGTCAGACAGTTAACTGACTGAGCCACCCAGACGCCCCTCCAGTTTTTTATTGTTAAAAATACATCCGTCAAGAACATTGGTTGTTCATGTGCTGTTTTATATCTTTTGAGTAAATACCCAGAGGTGGAATGGTTGCATCACATGGTGGGTATATACTTAATATAACTTTTCAAAGTGGGCTCCATGCCCGATGTGGGGCTTGAACTCCCAACCCTGAGATCAAGAGTGGCACGCTCTACGACTGAGCCAGCCAGGTGCCCCTGTGTATTTAATTTTAATGTTTTTTTTTTTTTTAATTTCTGAGAGAGAGCGTGAGCAGGGGAGGGTCAGAGAGAGAGGGAGACACAGAATCTGAAACAGGTCCAGGCTCTGAGCTGTCAGCACAGAGCCTGACACGGGGCTCAAACCCATGAACCGTGAGATCATGACTTGAGCCTAAGTCAGACGCTTAACCGACTGAGCCACCCAGGCGCCCCGAATTTTATTTATTTATTATTAAGAAAAAAATTTTTAATGTTTATTTTTGAGAGGGAGATTGGGAAGGAGAGAGAGAGACCGTGAGCAGGGGAAGGGCAGAGAGAGAGGGAGACACAGAATCCAAAGCAGGTGCCAGGCTCTGAGCTGTCAGCACAGAGCCTGACACGGGGCTCAAACTCCTGAACTGTTAGATCATGGTCTGAGCCGAAGTTGGATGCTCAACCTACTGAGCCACCCAGGCGCCCCTATTTAATTTTAAAGAAATGGCCAAGATGTTTTCCAGAGTGCGTGAACTCTTCCCTTCCCTGGCATTGTATATATTCTTGACCTTCACATTCTCGTCATCATTTGATATGGACAGTCTTTTAAGTTGTAGCCATCAGAATAGGTGTGCAGGGTTGTTACACTGAACCACTTTTGTATGGAAGTGAAATTCACTTAACAGAGAGCTAATCATTTTAAAGAGGACAATTCAGTGGCCTTTAGCATGCTCATAATGCTCTAACCAGTAACATGTGAAACTTGTCATGGGTTTCTAGCATTTCGGGAAATACCCACCTGGGACTTGACCTGAGATCGCGTTGCATTTGTAGGCTAGTTTGTGGAGAATAAACATTCAGTGAGCACCGACCGCGTGGCGGACATTGTAGGTGCTGGAGACTAACCTTGAACAGAACAAGCGTCTCCTCCCCTCCCCCTGCCCCCTGCCCACGCCATGGAGGTGAGTAGAGGTGGGGGAGGGGCTAGGTGACAAACCACCAAACTCTACTAAACAAGTACATCAATGTCAAGATGGTGCTAGGTTCTGGGGACTAAGAGCCCAAGTAGAAGAGGTAGGCATGCTGGACTGGGGGGAGAAGGGGGAGGAGAAGGGTCACTATCTTTATATTTGATGGTCAAAAGAGGCTGGAACAGAGAGGCATTTGAGTAGGGAGCTGGAGGAAGGAAGAAGAACGGTGCAGCTAACTAGGTGAACGTTCTCAGAAGAGCAGATAGCGAGTGCAAAGGCCCTGAGGCAGAAGTGTGTTCCAGACACAGGAAGTATGGAGCCAGTGCGGAGGGGTTGGTGGCAGAGGTAAGCGCTGACGTCAGAGGATGTCTGTGGGGGGGGGAGGGGAGGCACGAGCTGGGCAGCGAGGTGGGACCTTAGGGAGATCTGAGCAGAGCGGGGCTGCTCTACCAGGTTAAAGTGCCTTCTTGTGTTAAGAAAATCCCTCTTTGAGGACGTGATTTATCTAACTGAAGGCTTCTGGCTTTTAGGACTCTGTTTTCTTGGTTTGTTTTTTACAAAACTGGTCTGGTAACACCGGGTGTAGGTACACTTTCTTCCGAAGCAGCACTTGTGTTCATTTGTATCACAGAACTGATTCGCGATTCCTCAGGAAAAGCACATCCAAGGACAAAAGGGATCTTCCTGGATCTTTCTTCTGTTCTCGCCACCGTGTGACAGTTCCACCTCGGTGGAGTTCTTTGGGTTACGCGATGGGAGTTCGTTTGTTCAAAACACATTTGTTGTAGATGAATGTTCCCGGCCAGACAATGGCACCCAGCCTCAAGGTCCCTCAACGGGTGAACGGATAAATGATAAACAGGGCGCGTCCGCACCGCGGGGTGTTGTTCAGCCAGAGGAGGGACGCCCTGACCTGTGACAACGCGGGGGAGCCTTAAATACCGTGCTGAGTGAAAGAGGCAGAAAATCGGATATTGTGGGATCCTGTTCATAGGCGATGTCCAGAGTAGGTAAAGCTGTAGGGTCAGGAAGATAGTGGCTGCGGGGGGCTGGAGGAGGGAGCGGGCTGAGGGGAGTAGGTAGAGGATATGGGGTTTCTCTTTGAGGGCTGGAATGCCCTGCGGGTGGTACCCTGTAGTAGTGGCTGCGTACATCTGCGTGTGTACTGAAAATGACCGAATTGTACATTTCCAGCGGGTGAAGTCTGTGGTATGTGGATTGTTACGGGCTGTGTTGTGTCCCCTCCAAACCCCCCTGATGAAGCCCTAATGCTCTCTAGCTCAAAACATGACTGTATTTAGGGTTAGGGCCTTTACAATTACCTTCAATTTTTTTTTTTTTTTTTAAGAGACCGCGTGAGCAGGGAAGGGGCAGAGAGAAGGAGACACAGAATCCAAAGCAGAATCCAGGCTCTGAGCTGTTAGTATAGAGCCCGATGCAAGGCTTGAACTCACAAACCACAAGACCATGACCTGAGCTCAGATTCTTTTTTTAAAAAAAATTTTAATGTTTTATTTATTTCTGAGAAATAGAGACAGCATGAGCAGGGGAGAGTCAGAGAGAGAGCGAGACACAGAATCTGAAACAGGCTCCAGGGTCTGAGCTGGCAGTCAGCACAGAGCCTGAAGCAGGCCTCAAACCCACAAACCGTGAGATCATGACCTGAGCTGAGGTCGGACGCTTAACCGACTGAGCCACCCAGGCGCCCCTGAAGTCAGATTCTTAACTGACTGAGCCAACCAGGCGCCCATATCTTTAATTTTTAAAAGCGCCCATATCTTTAATTTTTAAAAGTGCAGTGGGGCCTTTAAGGAGGTGATTAGGGAAGCCATTTGGGTGGGTCCTGATCCAATCTGTCTGGTGTCCTTTTTTTTTCTTTTTTAAAATTTGTTTTAATGTTTATTTTTGAGAGAGAGCGAGCGAGTGAGCGAGAGAAAGCGTGCGTGCAAGTAGGGGGAGGGGAAGAAAGAGGGAGGCACAGAATCTGAAGCAGTTCCAGGCTCCGAGCTGTCGGCACAGAGCTTGACGTGCGGCTCAGGCTCACGAACTGTGAGATCATGACTTAAGCCAAGGTGGGAAGCTTAACCGACTGAGCCCCCCAGGCGCCCCTGTCTGGTATTTTTCTAAGCAAAGGAAATTTGGACACACAGGGTGCACTGTGTACGCAGACGCAAACCATCTGCCAGCCAAGGAGAGAGGCTTCAGAGGGGACCAGCCCTGCCGGTGCCTTGACCTTGGACTTCCAGCCTCCAGAACTGTGAGGAAAAAAAGTGTTTAAGCCCCGAGGTGGGGGGTATTTTGTTACAGTCGCCCTCGCAGGCCAAAATGTACATTATATCTCAAAAGCTGTTGTAAAGAGGGGCGCCTGGGTGGCTTAGTCGGTTAAGCGTCCGACTTTCGCTTAGGTCATGATCTCGCGGTTCGTGGGTTCGAGCCCCGCGTC